ATGTTGCGTTCTTAAAAAGTACTCTAAAACATATAAATAAGTTACCCGGGCAATTGATTTGCATTAGCCAATCAGACAAATTTCTGTCTATGACTACGCACTGGCATTGTTTTGTTTACTGGCGATGTTTTGATTTCACATTTCACAAAGATTGCACATGATTTTGTAATAATCTTGAGATCTACAAACAAAATTTTCCTTTTTTGGATTTGTATCACTTGCAGAAATATAAACAAAAAATAAGCATATCGATATACAATGACTTGTACAGTATTGAAGTAAGCATTGAAGATGGAAAATAATATTGACAAAATATTGAAAAAAAATGGTCGTAAGCTATTCATTGTTCGAATTATTTTTTCTGAGCTTGCAAATTGTTAAGTGCAATGGCAGTCTAGTCAATAAGTTAATACCATAACCCATCGCATAAGACTTCGGTCACACAGTTTGCAAGGGGTTGGTTAAGTACAATAGCAGTCTAGTCAATAAGTTACTATCATAACCTATCGTGTAAGACTTCAGTCACATCAACCTTCCTCAGATTGCAACTTATAGCATATTTAGAAAACTTTTTCTTTCGTAAAATATTTAGTACATCTAACTTTTATCTTTTTATTATTCTACATGCAATTCACGTAAGCTATCAGAAAAGGATAAGTCGAATATCAAATGGTTACTATATTCATTTAATCCTGAGCTCTTGGAATTTTACTGGTATCTTAATTGTAAGACAAGCAGTGTTCAAGATTTGTGTTCTCAAAGTTCTCATGACCATACTATTAAAAATCTGCGCACAATTTAAACCTTTTTGCTGTTCTCTATTAAAAATATTTTGTGCACAGTAAAACAAATAATTGTGTTCTTATATATAAGTGTGCTTAAACAAAAATATATATATATATTTTTTAATTTTCACTTTAACATAATACAACTTGATAATACAAAAATTTAGAGTAAATTTATCATTACATCTTTGCTATATATTGGTTTTTTACTTATTTGTTAGTGCCGTGAAACTTTTTTATCTGTTGTGTGTGATACTATTTGTTATTTATATTTATGCAGTATAATAGCTTGTACGTGCATTATTTCCTTATATTTCTATAGGAAATTTTCATTTTTTTTATTTTTATAGTTACTTCAATACTTCAATTTTTTGATACTAATATGATTCATTTTTGATATGATTCAGATGATGATACAGTTCAAGAGCATATAAGCTTTCATCGAGATATTTCATGTATATACTTTTCTAAGTTAACGCAAAAATATATTTTCTTTAATTTTTGAATGTTTTGGTCTTAATTTGTACTTCTGTTTTTTGTTTCTTTGGCATTACATGCTTTTTTTCTCTGAATTTTTTGCCGGTTTGATTAATTGATAATTGATAATCATTAGAGAGCATAGCGAAAAGCAAAAGAACTATAATAAAAAAATCGTGAACTCAGCCCCTGACCAACAAAAATTTATGTGATTTGTCATCCTATCGCCACAGAGAAGATCAAATTTATGCTTTGCTATATTTGAAAATGTGCACTATTCATTTACCAATATTGTAACAATTTAGATTCAGATCAGAATATATGGAAATATAATATCCAGTAGCTGTTTTATTTGGCAGGTGATAAGATCATACTGTACTGTAATTCTATGGCTATACGGATCACAGTATGATCGTTTTATATAAAAAATAAAAGATTATATTTAATGCACCAGATTTGAATCTAACACATCAACTTTGGCCGCAAAGAGCCCAAATTAGTGCATTACATTTAAGACAGAGCAGGAAGGAATTGCTTTAAATCTAATGCCTCAGCTTTGGCCCAGGAGGGGCCCAAATTGGTGCATTAAATTCAAGATAGAACATCTAATAACAGAAAGAAAATGCTTTAAATTTAATGCACTGGCTTTGCCAGTTATCTTCCTTTTCATCATCACTTGCCTTCGAATTAAGGCTCCATAGCTGCTTTGGTAGTACAGGGCCTTATTGTAAGGCTTCACGGCAGCTTTGGCAGTACAAAGACCTTGCATGGCTACAGTGACATACAAGAACCTATATACATTTTACATATTTTCACATCTATTTTTCTTGCTGTTTCCAATTCTTATTATAAAATCACTTTTGTTTGTTTAAACGATTCATGATGTTTGCAGCTAAAATAAAAAATTTTTATAAGGATATTATGGGAAGTAAAACCTGAGTTTTTTTTGATTATGTTTATTTTTATTACAGATGAAGATTTTGCAAAAATAGTATGTATAGAGTAGATGGGCTGGGTATGAATATTTCGCTTTCAAAGGCTATTGTTTGGCTACTTGCTGCTGTTTGCCCTTACATCTGGCCTCTATTCATCTTGGCACTTGTATCACCATGCCTCAAATAGTCATTTGATTGATTTTGTTTTTCTTTGCTCTATTTTTGTTATGCTTGATTGAAGCTGTATAAACCAGATTTTGTCTATAACTTTAGAATTCCACATGATTGCCAGTACACCAGTATACCATTGTATCAATTGCCTTTTCAATCTGTCAATAAAAAATAATGCAATCTAAAAAACTCAGGTTTTACTCTGTCATATAATATTAATGAAGTCTCAAATAAATATAAGTTTAAAAATTGTATGTGTATTTTAAATTCATTGTATAATTAGTTTGTAAAAAATAGTAATATTTTCTAATACTAATTTAAAAAAGTAAATAATTAAAGTCTATTATAAGTATAATAATGAAAAATAATAAACCCAAATATGTTAAGTATATAAAAATCTAGAATAGATTTAGAATAGCTTAAATTTGTAAAAAGAATAGTGAGATTAAATATACATTTTTTGTTTAATATTTTAACTTTCATATTATTTTAAGAATAAATTAGTTATTATGTCAAATATAAAATTGAATTTAATTGAAGTGATAGAATTTTATAAGTAAATTTATAAAGGTGCTTATTAAATAATAAATTATTTTTTACTTTTTTTTATTTCATGATCAAAAATGTCTAATTCTAAAGACAACCACAAAGAGAAGCAAAGTAAAATTACATCATTCAGTTTTGAAATACAAGCACCTAAAAAACAAAAACCATTATACACACTTAATAAAAATGAAAATAAAAGTTTATTTAATGAAGATTTTGATTTAGTGATATTTAAAATAGTTATGATAATAATACTATGGCCAGTGAAGATTC